AGATTAAAATTTGCAAAAGTGCACCTAAACATTAGAACTTTTTACTGGGTTAACCTACTTTATGAGGATTTATTTGACATATATGCAAAGGAAATGACAATTGAAATCCACTGGGTTAACGAAATCCGGTTAAATGTAAACGTACTACTAGATTGACCTCTGTATAAGTGGCGTTATGGTCTGACGAGACCAAAGTGGTTTGTAATTTAATTTAAAGAGAACAAAGCAACTAATAAATAAGTGGATATATTTTTATACCCTACACAACTATGTTGTCAGGGTATTATAGCTTTGTGCAGCCCCAAAAGTTTGTAACGCCGCGAAATATTGGTCCTAGACCCACCTTTAAGTATACCGATCGTCATATCTCGACTAGCTGAGTCGATCTAGACATTTGTGTCCGTCCGTCCGTCTGTCCATTATAATTTGTAAACACGATACAGGCCACAGTTATGGCCCAATCTTCATGAAATTTTGCATGTAGAGTGGGTTCTGGCCAATGAAGACCCCTATTGTTTTTGGAAAAATCGGTTAATATTTAGGGGATGAAATGGACCAAAAACTTTATTTTTGTCTGATTTTCTGGTCGCTCCAGAGGCCGCAATTATGGCCCAAACACCGCGAATTGTTTCATGGAGAAGGAGATCGGGCCAAAGAATAAGCATGCCTGTTTTGATAAAGATCGGTCAATAGTAAGCGGGTCAAATGGACTCTGACTTTTGTGTGAAAAATAACAAAATTTGTATTCTATGGCGTATATGTTTGCCCCTGAAGGACCTAGACCCAAAAAGTTGATAGTATGTTCAAGAGGAGTGGTGTACCTTTAAATTGATACCAATTATATGGTCGTATGTACTCAGATGTGAGAGTTACACTTAAATATTTACAGTTGTTAACGTATTCAGACATTATTTAGTAACCCAAAACCACACTAGAGGGCGGAAATATAGCGCTGATAGCTTAGAAAGTCTCCATGAGATTCCAGTTATGGTCAAGGACAACGACTATAATTTCCGGTGATGATCAGATTATAATTTTGGGATGAAGTGGACCGAAAACTTAACCTTTTGTGTTATTTATTATTATTATTTTTTTTTTTTTTTTGAGTCCATCTATAGGCCACAATTGAAAGCCCAACATCATAACATAACTCACGGTAAAGAGAATCTGGACAAGTACAGCCCTCGTCTACTGAATATTTGTAATATTTGTTGACCTTTAGTCGGGTTTTAAGAGGGTGCAAATAATGCAAAGTTAGATTTTCGTGGAAGTTGTGTAGGGTATTATATGGTCGGCCCCGTCCGACTATACTGCTCCGCTCACTGGTTTAAATTCTTTTGTTTATAAATCAAGAACACCAAAATTGTATGTTCAATATAATAACTGCTATTATAATGCACGCTACTGTATTTCACAAAGATTCTAAAAAAATATGTTATTATTTGTGAAACATTAACAAATAAACCATTCAAAATATTTTAGGAAAAAGTAAAGCAGTGAGCGGAGCAGTATAGTCGGACGGGGCCGACCATATGATATGTAATTTAATTTAAATAGAACAAAGCACTACCACGAAAAACTAACATTCTGCCGATGTTTATTTCAAGTCTGGGCAATATTTCCCGATATTTTCTGCATCTTAACCGATTATAGGTCAACAGCTCCACTTTCTAACCCTGGCATATTTTCCAAATCTTGTATTTCTGAGGAGAATATTTATCCCATAAAATAAAAACTTGGTCACTTAACCCTCGAAATATTTACCGCCCATCATCGGTGAATAAGATCCTATTCACCGAATAAAATATGTGATGTTGTGAAAATAATAATGCCCTTAAGAGCGACTAGAAAATCTGACAAAAAAATTAAGTTTTCGGTACCTGAAAATTATAGGCGTTGTCATTGACGATAACCGGAACATCATGTAAAATTCAAAGCGATCAGCGCAACATTTCCGCCCGTTAAGGGGGGAAATGGTAATAATAACCAAATCAAAATATGTAGACTCCTGTAATTATCTTAGTATAACTCCCACATCCGAGTACATACAACAATAAAATTGGTATCAACTTTTATTGGTATCATTTACTTCTTCAGGAGTAAATGTATACGCTATAGAATAAAAATGTTGTATTTTTTTCTCACAAAAGTCGGGGTCAATTTGATCCGCTGAATACTGACCGATATTTATCAAAACAGGCATGCGTATTCTTTGGTGTGATCCCCTTCTTCATGTAAAATTTCGTGATGTTCGGGTCAACAACAGACAAAATACAGTTTTTGGTCCATATCATCCCCTAAATATTACTTACTTAGCTGGCTTGTTACAGAAAGATTGTTTCATAAGCCGAGCTTAAAAAAAATCCAAGCGTGTCGGTCTTGTGCGCACCTCCACCAATTTGAAAGACCACGTTCCAAGAAGCTGTTTTCTGCATGGTCTTTCCATCTAATTCGTGGCCTTCCATTTTTACGGGAACCATCAGTAGGTTTTTTTTTGCCTTTTGAGATGGGACATTCTCATTCATTCGCATAAAATGACCCAGCCACCGTACGACTGACTATGTCGATGTCCGCGTATACATTGCAGAGCTCGTGGTTCATTCGACGCCGATATTCACCGTCGGCGCAGATCGGCCGCTTTCTTTTAGAGAATTTTTCTTTCAAAAACCCCAAGAGCTGCCTCATCTGCTTGCGCAAGTAGCCATGCTTCAGATCCATATAACAGCACGGGTAGTATCACAATCCTTCTCCGAATTTCAAAACTAATGTCATTCGTTTTATTTATGGCGGTACCAAAGTATATCAAATCTTTAACTACCTCGAAGCTGTAGTTCTCAAGTTCCTCAGTTGGTCCGAGTCTACTGGACGTCTTGGACGTTGATACCATCAGCTTGGTCTTCTCGCCGTTTACTGCCAGACCCACTTTTGCGGACTCCTTCTCAATTTGTTCAAAGGTGGCTGTTACCGCTCGCAATGTTTGACTCATTATATCGATGTCATCGGCGTAGGCGAGTAACATGTGTTGTTTGGTGTACAGAGTGACATTTGCCTCTCGTATGACTTTTTCCAGCAGAATGTTAAAAAGGTCACACGACAAACTGTCACCTTGTCTGAATCCTCGTTCGGTGTTAAATGGCTCCTAGAGGTCCTTTCCAACATTTACTGTTGACCTTGTGCCACTTACAGTTATCCTGCAAAACCGTATTAAATTTGCAGGAATTAAATTTGCCGAACGTAGACATGGCTTTAAACACCTCTGAAAGGATAGGGCTGTCGAATACGGCTTTATAGTCGACTAATATGTGGTATGTGTCGATGTGTTCTTCGTGGGTCTTTTCCAGGATTTGAGTGAAAATCTGGTCTATGGTAGATTTGCCAGGCCTGAAGCCGCATTGATATGGTCCAATAATGTCATTGACCATTGGCTTCAATGGGGAAAAGGAACTCCATTATTTATGAACTATAAGACTTCATTAAAAATGCTTCGGAATGACCGATTTGGGACAAATATGCACCGTTTTGTTGTATGGTTTGTTGTCATTTGCTATCTTCAAACGGTCCAGTTGCTCACGGTAGAGATTAATAATAAATAATCCCCTACCAGTCCCACCAAATACATAGCAGAACCTTCCTGGACGTTAGTCCTGGTTTGGCCACCGTTGAGGTGCTTCACCGCTCTTTGACCATGATCGTTTTCGCATAAGGTTATCGTATGTGATCCATTTGTCATCTCATAATCGTTCATTATCATTAAAGCCATTCGTGGGTCAGATCGCCTTTCCTTTGGTAAATATGTGATGCTCGCCTTCTAATTGTGGCGTCTAAGCGCACCGAAATATCAACTGATCATCATCGAAAATTGCAGGCGTCATCCTATGACCATAACGGGAACCTCATGTAAATTTTTTCAGTTATCGACGCTACTCTTCCGCTCTCTGGTGTGATAATGGTAATATTGAAGAATATCAGAATATGTAGACCCCGGTTAGTACTCCAACATTCGAGTAAATAAAACAATTACATTGGTATTAATTTAAAGGTCTACCACTCTTCTTGGATATACTATCAACTTCTTGAGTCAAAAAAGAGTCCGGGGGTCCATTTGACCCCCTAAATATTCACCGATCTTCTTCATCAAAACAGTCATGTTTAATCCACGTGTAAAATTCCGTGATGTTCGGGTTATAGTTGTAACCTCTAGAGAGACCAGTTCCATTTCATCCCCAAATGATAAACCAGTCAATACCGAAAATAGTGGTCTTCTTCGGCCAGAACCCGTCCGAATTATAATGGACAGACGGATGGACACACATGTCGATATATGGCGATACTAAATGGTGGGTCTAGGACAAGTTATTTTACAAAAAAGAATATAATCAGAATCCTCTATATCGAATTCAGTAGTGCAGTATTAAACCCGTCTTTTGAAATGCTTGCTTCAAACATAGCGGTTCTAGCCTAGCCTAATACAATGTACATATCATTATTTATACTAAAATGTAATCTCGCCTTCGGCTAATACGAATTGACAACCACAAATATGCACATACATATTAAAACGCATCGAAAAGCAGGACTTTGATCATTGATAATGACAAAAATGCAAAAAAAAAAAACAACCGCCTCCGAACAAACAAAATGAACTTGAACAACTAAAATCCACACTTTACCGGATATACGGATAACATTATTATTATTATTTTTTTTATAAATCATATTTTATTACAAAAAAAAAAGTATCGTAAACAACTAAAAACACATACATACACTCAAAGAAGTAAATCCTAAGTGTTTGTAGTGGCAAGTGTGAAAATTTGTATTTCGATTCGAAAATTCCGCTATAACCACAAAAAGAAAACACTAAAAATAACAACAACAACGTCGATGTCGACTATAACTGTCAACTAAGCATTATCGGCGCCATTCTAACTGGACAACTTTTGCAAACCAACCACCACATCATTCCATTTCAATATTTTTTAAGCTATCGAGAAAAGGAATTCGTAGAAACAAAAACAAACAGCAACAAAATATACGGAAATATGAATTTATCCAAGGAAAATGTATGTAAATATTTTATTTCCATTTCTCACATGTTGTTGTTATTGCTGTTGCTGTTATTATTATTATTATTTCATTTTCTTGTTTTGTTATGATTTTGTTTTCCTTTTCAGTTTTGTTTGTGTATTGTTTCACCTTCACCATACAATTTTGTTTTTCAAATCGTATTTGTTTTAATGTTATTTTTTATTTTCATTTCTTTGAAAGTATTCTTATTATTGTTGTTGGTGTTGTTTTTGTTGATTTATTTCTATTTTTTTGTTTTTGTTAATATTTCTCTCCTCTATTGCAGTTTGCAAATACTTATATTTACTTATGTATATGTATATATAAATGTATGTATATTCATACATCTGTATGTATGTAATTTCTTCTTGTTATTCTTCCTATATTTATTTGTTTGTATTTTAAATAAACAACATGTCACCACACACATGCAAATACTGACATATACACAATACAAATGCACGGAAGAAGACCTCAACTACTTTCTTTTTTTTCTGTTCAAATACGAGTAATTCGAAAACAATATCGAAATCGTAGATGGTATGACATACACACTTACACACATATATTAGGGATAAGTTCCATATGCGAGTATGGTGGATAAACTTACCGCTATATAGAAGTTACGACTATTATCCCCATATTTTTAAAATAAATTATCATATTCTTTTAATTTTTGAACCGGATAATTAGATAATAATACCGACGTTTGAACCGGTTTTATGTTGTTTTCCGCATAACGAGACCGGTTAATGGTAAGAATTTCAAACGAACATTTTTTCATGATTCACAGTTTATATGGGATTTATTCAAATACACAGATATAGAGGTTCCTGGGATATGATCGTATAATAGAGGCAAAATGCAAATGAAAACGAGTGAGCGGAGCAGTATAGTCGGACGGGGCCGACCATATGATACCCTACACAACTACCACGAAAAGCTAACTGTCTGCGGTTCTTTATTCTGAGCCTGGGCAATATTTCGTTATATTTGCACCCTTTTTACTGATTATAGACCAACAACTCCACTTTCTAAGCCTGGCATATTTTCCAAAATGTTTTTTCTTGAAGTGAATTTTTCCACCATAAAATAAACCAGTGAGCGGAGCAATACAGTCGGACGGGGCCGACCATACGATACCGTACACAACTACCACGGAACTCTAACTTTCTGCGAATGTTTATTCCGACCCTGGGCCATATTTCGTGAAATTTGCGTCCTCTTGCACGAATAGCGGTCAACAGCACCTCTTTCATACACTGACATATTTTCCGAATATTACTAATATTCAGTACCGCCTTTCTATTTACTTGTCCAAATTCCCTTCGCCGTGAATTGTGTTGTGATGTTCGGTTTTCAATTTTGGCATATAGATCGACTCGAAAAAACACAAAAATTAAGTTTTCGGCCCACTTCATTCCAATATTATTATCTGATCATCACCGAAAATTATAGGCGTTGTCCTTGACCATAACTGAAACCTCCGCCCTCCAGTGTGGTAATGGATTACTAAATACTATATGAATACGTAAGCACCTGTAAATATTTACGTGTAACTCCCACATCCGAGTACATACGACAATATAATTGGTACCAATTTTAAGGCCAACCACTCCTCTTGGATACACTATCAACTTCTCGGCTCTATGTCCTTCACGAGTAAATATATACGCCATAGAATACAAATGTTGTCATTTTTCACACAAAAGTCAGGGTCCATTTGACCCGCTTACTATTGACCGATCTTTATCAAAACAGGCATGCTTATTCTTTGGCACGATCCTCTTCTCCATGTAAAATTTCACGATGTTCGGACCATTACTGCGGCCTCTGGAGAGACCAGAAAATCAGACAAAAATTAAGTATTTGGTCCATTTCATCCCCTAAATATTAACCGATCTATACTAAAAACAATAGGGATCTTCGTTGGCCAGAACCCATCCTACATGCAAAATTTCGTGAAGATTAGTCCATAACTGTGGCCTGCATCGTGTTTACAAATTATAATGGACAGACGGAAGGATGGACGGAAACACATGTCTAGATCGACTCAGCTGGTCGAGATATGACGATCGGTATACTTAAAGGTGGCTCTAGGACAAATATTTCGCGGCGTTACAAACATTTGGGGCTGCACAAAGCTATAATACCCTGACAACATAATTGTGTATTGTATAAATACACAAAAGGTCTGATCAGAAAAATAACCCTTAAAGTCTGATCAACAAATGAACGGTTTTTGCATTCGTCAAATTCTACCTTGTTCCCTTTATTCCAATAATCGAAACCGGCGACATCTCCTGATCCTGATGAAACCCTTAATAGCTTAGTATGAAGGGAGGGTATATTGAATTTGGCGATTTCCGTCCTTATGTCTGTCCTTTTCTGTCGTATTCACTCTAGCCTCTAAACAAATTGAGATATATCGCAAAAATTTTGCTTAGAGTTGTTTTAGGCATAGCCCGGTAAATCGGGGAATTTTGATTTTTTTTTAGTTTTTGAGCACCTTTTTCCAAATTGTCTATAATTTGACACATTTTGTTCTTATTTTGTAACAAATACCCCACTAAAAATGATTAATATCGGTCCACTTTTTTCTGTAGCCATCATATAAAAATACCCCCAAAATGTCCGTATTTCAATTGAAGTGGTGAAGTGGTTCGTATTTTGGATTCTATTTTAATACGAAAGCTCTCTACTAAAAATCATCAATATCGATCCACTTATACGGTACCCCCAAAATATGCGTACCTTAAAAATTTTGCACAAGTATTTCCATCGAATTGGATGTATTTATTTATTTATTGTAAATTTAACTTACAACTAAAATAATTATAAGCTAAATATAAAAAATAATATGGCTATGACAATAATAACGGTCTTCAGCCAAGAATTGGATGTAATTTGGTATTTTTTGTTCTTATTAGGAGCCAAATCTTCCTACCAATGATATCGAATTTGTTGGGTTGCCCCCCATATAACGGAACCCTCCAATTTTCGGTATATTGATGGTTCTGACCATCAACCAAGTTCACTCTTATTTAGTATTTTGTATTCGTATTTGGTATCCCTACCAAAAATTATTAATATTCGCCCCTTTTGGGTATAGTCGCCATATAACCCTCTTTTAAATATTAAAATAGTTAACTGCTTTGTTCCGCGTATTATGGCTGTCCCCAAACATTTTGTCAGTTTATACGCTACAAACTATGGATTCTTATGGATTCAATTTAACCATATGTTGTAATCATTCTACCTTAGGAGGATATCGAGTTAAAAACTAGAACGTCAGATTCGAGAATTTTATATATCGGGCCGCTTTTAGGCCTAGTCCCTTATAATAATACCTATCGAATTTCTGTATTTTTACTATTTATATGGGATACAAAACTAAAAGATTATGTTCGAAATTGAACTATTAGACATAACCCCCACATATAATGATAATTCCTACACGATGTAATTAATATTGGCCTCGTTTTATGTATGGCCTCATATACCTTTATCCTCCAAATTCCAGTATTTTTAGTATTTTACACACATGTTCCACCCTACCATGCGTTATTCATATCGGTCCACGTTTTGAGATTGTAGGAAAAATATCCCATTAAAAATTACTGAAATTTTTATTTGGTGTACATTTTTGTTTACATATTTTCATTTCAAGTAACTGTCAGTATACCAATGGTGGAGGGTATCCAAAATTTGGTCCGGCCGAACTTAACACTTTCTTTACTTGTTATTTTATTTCCTCAATCGTATCAAAAGGATTTCCATCCATCGGTGTCTTCAGTTTAGGTGTTAAGAGGGCTTATTAACTCCTCACTGGATCATTCCGACGGTGTTAAGATTACAAATTTGGCTTTGGCATCAACTAGGATTATTGACTTCTCTAGAAAATTAGCACAATTAGAGTTCTTGAGTTATCGTTCCCAACAATCATACAAACATTGCTTCGAGAAAAACGCTTTTAAAGTTTGGGAAGCACTATTGCCGTCGCCAGCAGGCTTTTCAAGCTTTCTAATACATTAAAGCGAAATAACCGACCAAATGCCCGTTTGTCTGACTGACTTTAGGTGCTCTCTATAAAGTTTTAGCCACAGAAGTTGCAAAATATTTTCAATATAGGTCCATTTTTTGACATAGTCTCCATATACAGAACCCGTCCAATTTCCAATGGAAGTGACTGCACTTTGATTAGGGTCCAGGATAGCCCCATATAATATCGCATTTTACCGCTGAAGGCTATAATTTCACATCCTAGATTTTTTGAAATAGTTCCATAGTTTTTTGTCTTTTTTTAATGGTGAAATCTTTAATATAGGTCCATGTTATTTTACTGCCCCATATTAATATACCGTCCCATTTTCGGTATTTGTTACGTTTAAGCCTAATTTTCGCTGAATGATTGTAATTTGGTACTCCGAATTCCTGGTAAATTAAAATCTTTTCCCGAGAAAATGTGAAAAGTGCCAAAGTTTAGAAATATACAATTTCCAATTTTTTTACCTGAGGACCTATTATAAAACTATTCACCGGAGACCGCATAAAGTAATCAGAAAAAATTCAACGCCGATATAGGCATGTCCGTCTGTTGATATCGCGAAAGTGCTCGCATTATATAAGAGACATAATAATCCCCATATGAAGGTTCAATCCAAAATAACTGTTGAAGCATATCATACTGTGATTATTTTTCCCACTGTATCCAAGATGTCATTGTTTACCACCACACGACAACTTTCAACATAATAAAAATATTTTCCTGCAGTCTTGGTATTTAAGCTTTTCCTCAATTGTGTTATTTACACTGGCTGGACCAATGTAAGCTCTCGTCAATGGTAAACAAAATTCACGATGAGAAAAACAAAACAACAGCAACAACAATGACGAAGATGCATGCATTCCGTACTGCATTACAAGTTATTGATGACTTTGGTTTCGATTTTCTTCTTCTGACTGACTGATGGTGGTCAGGATGGTGGCCCTTGCTATTTATTTTTGTAAGAGGCAAAAGAAGTCAATATACAGCCATAGTTACTATTGAAAAAATCTCTTGATCTCTAAAGATCGCATATAAGGTGAAATTTAGCATAGCAAATCGAACGTATGTTAAGTTTATTTGAAATCGGTTCAAGTTTAGATATAGTTCTCGTAGCTATACGTTCGATTTTTTGTAGATGGTGCGGCAAAATCCCATATATATTTTCCTCCCATTTTTGTTGAATGGTACTCCAAACCTCCCACATTGGTCCGATTAATGCGAAATTTGGCACTGCGTTTTGAATTGAATATAGAATGGCCTGTGTTAAGTTCTGGAATATTCGGTACAGATTTAAATAGATCTCCTATATATAGCTTCGTCCGATTTCTTGTACATGATGCACTAAATATTGCACAGTGTATATTTTTCAAATTGTTTCAGATCTGCAGATACCTCCCCTATATATTATGTTCCTAGACGTCTGATTAGAATGAAATTTTGCATATTTTACAGGATTTTTTTACCTCCATCCTTTTGGCTTCCCCTTACAGGTGCTGACATGCATACATATGTTGATCCGACATTCCAATTTTTTGTCTCCTTATTTTCGGCAACACCAAATTTATGGATATTTTCGATTTTCCATATTTTCTCCATTGTGCTCCACTGTACCTCAATAATATTGTTGTCTTCGCATATCGGACACCACACATACCCACAGCAACAAAAAAATTTTTACGTTCAGAGCTTTACTTTATATTGCTTTTTTTCTGCTTTCGCTGTTGTTGTTTTTGCAATTTCTTTTTTGTTTGTGATATTTGTTTATTTGCTGCTACAATGAAAACAAAGTGGATACCCTGCCTGTCCGCTCACCATCCTGCCTGCCTTCATGACAGTCCCCAGTCAGTCAGACCAACACACACAACATCTCCTTGCTCTTCCCTACCGATTTCCTCCTCGCACCGTTCCCTCCCTGCACTTTGTTTTCTGTGTTATTTGCGTTTTTATTTTTATAAACAAAACAATCGAAAACAAATATACCAACAACAACAACAGCAACATCGAGGCGTACGAATAAGGCCAATAACAACAGCAACCGCATTTAAGTGACGTTCACGAACCCAACAACGTCCGATGTTTATGATTGCGTCAATGCCGGCTGAGCCGTTGCGTTTGTTTACGCATTTTTCCGTAAAGTGTTGTTGTGGTTGTTGTTGCTGCTGTTGTGGTGGTGTTGTTGTTGTTTATTTGTTACTTGAACAAAACAAAAATCCCCCTACTCCCCAGATGGAGTTCGAGTGCTATGTTTTTCTGTTAAGTGGTTTGGGTCTCTTATTTTATTGATATTAAAGAGTGGCGTTGAGGTGTCCAATTGTTTTACATTTATTAACGAAGAATAAAGGTGTCAATATCGTATCTCGTATGACCTTTTCCAGCAGGATGTTATAAGTAGATCACACGACAAACTGTCACCTTGTCTGTATCATCGTTCGGTATTGAAGGGCTCCGATAGGTCCTTTCCGACTTTAACTGCTGACCTTCTGCCAGGAATACCGAACGTAGACATGACTTTAAACACATCTGAACGGATAGGGCTGTCGAATGCGGCTTTATTGTCGACGAATAGGTGGTATGTGGCGATGTTTTTTTCGTGGGTCTTTTCCAGGATTTGGCGCAGAGTGAAAATCTGGTCAATGGTGGATTTGACCATTGGCTTCAATCGTTCACACAGTACGCTGGATAGCACTTTATATGCGATGGGAAGGAGACTGATTCCACTATAGTTGGCACATATCGTCTTGTCTCCTTTTAGGTGCACGGAACACAGGATGCTGAGGTTCCAATCATTGGGAATGTATTCTTCTAGCCAAATTGTGCTAATCAGTTGGTGCATGCTCCTTACCAGCATCTGACCACCAGTCTTGAATAGTTCGCCTTGTAACCCATCGGCACCTGCTGCTTTATTATTCTTCAACCGATTGATTGCTATTCTCACTTCATCTTGGCTAAGTGGTATACACTCTATTCCGTTATATATTATTGTTCTGGGGTATCCTCTTCACCGCTACTATTTGATACCAGAAGTTTTTCAAAATGCTCCTTCCAGATCCTCAACACGATGTCTGTATCTGTGACCAGGTTTCCTTCTTCATCTCTAGAGGAAAATGTGCCTGGACCAAAACCTTCGGTTTGATGTTTTACTCGTTCGAAAAATTTCCGGACTTCATTCTGACTCCTGTACATCTCGATTTGCTCAAGCTCAAGCTCGAGATGCTTGAATCTGGTGCTGCTAATTACCATGTTTTTTTGCTGCCGCGAAGTCAATCAACCTCATGCCGTTATCGGAGGTTTCTTCATGAAGGCTGAATTTTCCGACGGTGGGGCCAAAGATATTTTCCCTTTTGATTTTTGTATTTGCAAATCTCCTACCAGAATTTTAATGTCATGGCCAGGGCAAAGGTCATATGCTGTTTCTAGGCGCTCGTAAAATATGTCTTTGGTCAGTTCATCTTTATCTTCGGTCGGAGCATGGACGCAAATAAGACTGAAGTAGAAGAACTTCGCTTTTATACGAATTATAGCAAATCACCCATCTACTGGAGTGAATCTGGAGACGAGGTCTTTTATTCTCCTATTAACCATAAATCCGCAGCCAAATTCATGTCTTGTTTCATGGCAGCTATAAAAACAAGGCGTAATCATCTGATTTACTGACGCCAGTCCCTTTCCATCGCATTTCCTGTAAGGCAATAATATCGGCTTTGTACTTCTTGAATACATCCGCCAAAGCGAACACTGAGCCTGTTCTGTACAACGTGCGCACATTCCAAGTGCAGATTCGCAGATCGTGGTCCTTTATACGTTTGCGGGGTGTCGTCAACATTAGGGGGGTTTGGTTTTCTTTTTCTTAGCTTTTTCATAGTAAGGCGTCGATTTTGAAAATAATATTTTTGAAGACCTCCATAAGGCGTGGATTTTTAAAATAATTTTTCTAAAGATCCATTTTTTGTCATTTAATACTAAGCACGTTATTTTGTGACGTATTATATGGTAAAGGCGTCGGATTAGACATTGTAGCGGCTACGACACCTGCTGTCATGTGTCACTTCAAAGTTCTCCGCTCTTTATTCAGTTTACTTTCATATCTTCCCTCTTTTCAACAAACCTCGAACAGTTGCTAATTTTTGCAGTTACGCCGAACAAACATTCTCAAACAATAATAGACCTCATGTCCCGAAAAAATTAGTTTTTAAACATTTGTACCGTTTAGTTGACGGTACCACGGCTCTCCACTTTACAAAGAGTAAAGAAGAAGAAGAAGAAACAAATTAAATATTTATTTCCATATTTTTTTAAGCCGAAGAATTCCTTATGTTTTAATTAAAGTCTCTGTTGTGGTCTCTCTCGTTACAGATGGGCCTTAACCTGCCAATGCTACTTGCCAATCATCCGCCCTTGGATTCTTGGCATCCATCCGGTGCATTTTCCCCGCCTCAAGTTAACGAACGCAACCATCAGCTGCATGTAACCTTGCCCATGCCATTCTCTGCCCCTTCGCACAGTGATTTGAATAATTCGGCCGCTGGTAGTTTAGGTGGTGGTGGAGGCGGCGGCGGAGGTGGGAGTAGTAGTGGTGGTACTGGTGGCGGTAGCAGTGGAGGACGTCTAAGTGCCAGTGGTATTGTTGGTGGCCATAGCATTTTTGGCGGCGGTGGAGGCAGCAGTAACAGCGACTTTGCCGGAAGTCCCCAGAAACCCATGGATACCACCGACATTGATAACGATGACAACGACGACAAGGAACCCGAAGCCAAATGCGAACGTACATCCTCGACACCGTCCAATCTACACGAGACCTCTCTGACCTCAAACGATGGCCGTTTGAGTTCGGGTCCAAATGGTGGTACACCGGGCGCCATCAGTGATGCCGGCGGAGGAGGTGGTGGCGGAGGTAGTGCTGGCGGAGGCACAAGCAGCTTAGCTGGCGGCAGTGGTGGTAGTGTTGGTGGCGGTGGTGGGGGCAGTGTTGGCGGTCGTCGTAGCACTGGTGCCTCCGGTACAGATGCCGGTTCTAGTCCTATACCAAATACAAATACTTTTGAAGCTCATAAACAAAGACACTTAATGCCGGGTGGCGCTATGGCCAGCGGGTCGCGAGATCAAGACGATCTGGATATCAAACAGGAACTACTGGAGAATTATTTCCACGCCCCACATCCGCCACCGCCTCCCGGTTCGCACCGTTCCTACAGTTCGGCCGATGATAACCGCCACCCCAGCGACTGTCCCGACGATTTTGCTCAAGATTTACGGGTAAGCGCCGCAGCTGCGGCTGCCGCCAAGGGTCTTGATTTCAGCCGTTTTGTCCTGCCACCTAGTCTGCGTCGGTCCACCGAATCGATAGATGAGAAATTTTCCCCGCTCAATATGCGCAAGCTGACAGCGTCGAGTGCCTCATCGAGTGCGGCCGGTCAAATGCTCATGAATTCACTGCTCTCCAACGAAAGTATGTCCGAGGACAATAACACATCGATCAGTGATCGGCTGAAGACGTCGTCGAGCATGGGCGGCGGCAGTGCCGGTGGTGGCCCCAATGGCCTCAGTAATTCCCAGGATGCTAGTTCATCAGCAGCGGCTGCAGCAGCGGCAGCTGCTATCTATGCCGAAAGTCTGAATAAAGATGACTGCGATTTTATAGGTTCTAATGTTAGCGTTAAGCTACGATCTATGGATCGTACACAGCGTATTATAGCTGAAAAACTAATCAGTGAGGTACTCTACTATGGTCAGTTCAATGAGCTGGAGCGAAGCGCTCGAATACAGCCCAAGTGACACATCCTAAAGAAATTTTTAAGTTCACGTTTTATGAATTAGTTGCAGAATTGTGGAAAATAGGGAAGGGAATTTAATTGTGAAGAAATCTGAATAAGAATCCTATGGAATTGAAATTTTAATATTTTTTTGAAATCTGAAAGAGAGAAAAATTATTTGTAGGACTGCCTCGAAGGTAGAAGAAATAAAAGGTTATGAGAAATTAAATTTCGAATAGTTTTTTTTTTGTTTCAGAAAATTTAGGGGGATATTCTTTGAGTTGGAAATTCATTTTCCCTTTTATTTCATTTTTAAATACTGTTTCTGTAAAATTAGAAAGGAATGAGTGCGAACACACTATTAACCTCTTCATTACTTAAAAATTAGTTGTTTGATTTAAAAGACAAATAAACAAAACACTTTTTTAAAACCATGGCGTGTGACCGTAAGTCACTCGAATTCGTTCGCTTCGAAATTTACAGATACAGGCTGTCAATCTCTACCTTCCACTTTTTCTATCTTTCTTTTCAAAAATTACTCTTGCATGCTGGCGTATTTGTTTTAGAGAGCATATTTGAACAGAATTAAATTAATCGACTTTTTAGAGTTGTATTTTTGGTACGATTACAAAAAAAAATGCAACTCTGAAAAAGAGAGAAAATGTTAGAAGAGAATTAAATTAATCAATTTTTCGGAGTTGTATTTTTGGTATGAATGTAAAAAAATACAACTCTGAAATAGAGTTGTTTAATGTTAAAAAAAATCAAAATTTAGTAGAGCTTTAATTTTATTAAGGGAAACGTTGTTAGTCATAATTGTTTTTATGTTAAATTTATTAAATTGTTTTTATATAAAAATTATTAAATTTTTGTTCCCAATTAGGGCTGTATTACTAGCGTTTTGTTTTGAAGATTATAGAAAAAAGTTTGGGATATTCCAAAGTGAGATGATGATGATGATGATTTTGTATGTATTTCTTTTTATTTGCAATTTAAAAAATATATTTAAAAGACATAGACCATTTTTATTGTATAGAAGTAAAGAATGAAATAACTAGATGGTATATAATGGAAATCAGTTTGCATCAATTGTTCCGGTTTTTTAGATTTACTTAAATTTTTGATCCTTAATTCTTCATGTTTTTCTGCTTTAAATATAATTTTCAAAATGAGGACTTTATATCACAGAAGTATTTGGTGAGATCTTCTAATGATAGTCCAAATAAGGCTTACGTATTTGAAAAATATTTTGGAAGAAGTCTATGGGCAGTTGTAGTGGAGATCCCTGTAGTGTTAGTGGTCGATTTTTACAATCATGGTATTGACCTTTCATTTGTTCTCTTATTTAAATTAAGATATTTAGCGAACGGAAAGTCGAAATGGAGTGATTATTTTTCACATCAAATGGATCCGGTAGTCTACATTTTGGAGAGTTGTTATCTTATTTCAGGAATCAGGCTCAAAATAATTGTTTAAAATAGGAGCTTTTGACCAGGAATTTCAATTCTTGTTCAAAGAAATGTACATACAATATGAATTCAAACACAAGAACCTCACTTGCCATTTTATAATTTCTATAAAACACATTTTTTGACAATCTTAATTTTTCTCTATTCTAATTTCATATTATTTTTTAAAATTTCGAAATAACCAGGGGTCCTACCATATTGTCATTACCATCTTTGGACGATTTTTATACTCTCAAACCTGTTTTAAACCCCATGTATATTTCGCTCAAATACGACTAATATTATTTGAAATCCAACTTCTTAAAATCACTCTCCTATTTCAATAGGTCCTTTTTAGATATTATTCGAAACATTGTAATCTAAACGATTTCATTTACTGTTCTGTAAATCCGAACAATTCACATGAAATTCTATGATTCGATTTGCAACTTGAACTGTTCTATTTTGTAATTTTAATCAATATACAAATGGAATAATTTAAATTTAAAATGTAAAAATTTTAATTTCGAATGAAGTATTGTGAATTATAGAAACAAAAATCAATTTTTGAAATTTAAATGGATTTTTCGATTTATAAATATATTTTGCTATGAATTCAAATGGTATTTTCGAATTACAATTGACATGTTTTGAATTGCATCTGAAAAAATCGAAATAATTCAATTGATATTCGAGGACTCGAATTGCAATTTGAAATGTTTTATTTTTAATTTTGAATAACTTGTTTGAAATTCGAATTGTTTTGTTTACAATTCCAAGAATTCTTTTTGAGATTCTAAACGTACTATCCTAAAATTCTTTCAAAATACAAAGGAAATTATGAAATAATTTGAATTTCAAATGAAAGTTTTAAAATTAAAAAAAAAAATCATGTTAACATTGAAGTACAAATCGATGCTGAAATTAATAGCAATAAATATAAATTTGAAATTTTTACCTCAAATGGAATGGAAGTTTAAATCTATGAAAATGGAATTCATTTGAGCATCGAGGATGTTTTTGTAATTTTAAATACTTTATTTGTTAATTTTAAACAAATCATTTGTTATTCAAAAATTTCTATTTGAAATTCGAGTAATTCCATTAAATGAAATTGAAAAATCATTTTTTATTATGGTTTTGAATATTAATTTTTTTTAATTTCAAATGAAGTTTTTTGTATTCAAATGGTTATATTGGAATTTCAAAATATTTAGTTTGGTATTTTTAATTAAGTCTTAAATTACTTTAATTAATTGTAATAATTCGAATTACAAAATTTGAATTACAAATGAAAGTACTTGAATTATAAATGAAAGTACATAAATTACAAATGAAAGTACTTGAATTACAAATGAAAGTATTTGGATTACAAAAGTAATACTTCAATGTCAAATGAAATGTTTCGAATTACAACTGAAAGAATTTGAATTGCAAATGGAATAATTTAAATTGCAATTGAATTGTTTTGAAATTGAAGTGACATTCTCAATTAGAATTAAATTGTGATGTAGCAAAATTATACTTATCAAATTAGAATTGAAATATCGCATTACAAATAAGTTGTAATGAATAAAAATTGAAAGTTTCAAATTACAATAGAAATGTTCTGCAAAAAATATGCCTACAATATATATTTTTATTTTTGTTAATTTTTGATTCCAAAAAAATCATATCAAATTTTGACTAAAAACGACACTTACAGCCTGTTTTTGTAAAATTCGAAACGAAACAATTCGAACGAATTACTACCAAACCTTTATTTATGTAAAAAAAATGTTTCTTGATTCTAAACAAAAATAAAAGACATATTTTTCAAAACCAAGGAGTTTGTTCGCAAGTCACTCGAATTCGTTCGTTTAGAATTTTACAAAAACAGGCTGTTAATACATATATTAAAAATTGTCTAAAATGTTGCCTTATTAATCGAAAAGTCCTAAAATAATGTAATTTGGGCACACCCCAGAATGTAGATTCTATGAAAAATTTGTAATTATTTTATCAATTACACTGTAAGATAAAATCGGGTTAATGTCGGTTTTATTATCTATTTTTTTTTAGAAACCGGGTTCTTTCTTCCTCGAAATTAGTTTTTATGCTTATTTGGCCTAACTTTTTTTAGTAAATAATTCGAACATATTGAAATACATACATACAGGGTTTTAGTAACATGACACGGCTAAACTTGCAAAAATACAATTAAAACGTTTAAATATCAATTTCCCGACAATGAGGGCCCCACCTAAAATCTTGTGAATTACATATTTGTGGAACATTGCGAGAATGAAAAATCACATCTAGTGATAATTAGAGACCGGTTCCAAAAATTAAGGACGAAAAGGACATATAAGGAATCGAGTTAGAAGGGTGAAATGTTCTACAAACAAATTCCTCATTCAATTTTACTGAAGATATCTAAATACATTAAATAGCTACAAAAATGGAAAAAAAATGATCACGCCATATATCCGAACTTCGACTTATTTTGATTTTTTCCTTCTGGAGTTTTCATACACTGACCACGGTCTTTCATACCTAATAGGTATTTTTCATCCCCCAAAATCGGACAATGTGATCTGCATTTTTTGAAATGTCTTCAATTTCCATTGAAAAATTAGCAGAGTATTTCTTCTCAAATCCGAGTTTGTTCTCCTCGGTTTCGTTTTCCTTCCTTTTCATTCTGTTTTTTTTTCGCCGAACTGAATACAATATCACATACATTGGCATGCATTTTCTTCAGGATGTTTAAGGTAAATTTTTTGGTTGAGCCATTCGAAAAAAATATCTATGGAGTTTCCCTTTCTTCGCTCTAATAGCTTTCTCCATTCTCTTCAGTATACACTTCCCGAGATAGTATGCATTCTTCTTAGCAAATAAAGGTAGAATACATTTCAATGATGGGAATTTCCTCCCAGGGAATATTTGGAATATAACAAAATCTACACTTTCTTTCCTCTCTCACATTAGGTATTTATATGTACCTATATTTAAAAATACGATTTCAATCTATTTTTAGATAAATATTTTCTATTTTGCAATTTTTTTTTTACAACTATTGTAAAAAAATTGTTTTATATTTATTTATAACGTAATTTATTTACCTGCCATATTTAGCCAAGTAAATTGGCTTAGATATCTCCAATTTTTTATAGGTACCCCTATTCCTCCAGCTCCTTGAATATCTCCAACTTTTTATAAAAAAATTCCCCCCTAATTACGGCAAACTGTATTTAGTTCATAATAATTTTTATGCAGCTAAGATAAGTTCAAACCCCAGAAAAAGAAAAAAAAATAAAATAAAAGATACAAAATACAAAACTGTAAACATAAACCAAAGAAATACAAAGTTTAAAAAAATATTCCAAAAATACAAAAAATAGCAACAACAACATTTCCAAAACCATCTTTATAAAAAAAAATAATTATGAACTAAATACATTTTGTTGGCATTTCTTCTACCCAGAAAAAATCAAGAATAAAAAAATAGAAACTAATTCTTAAAAAACAAACCGAAAATTGAATCAAATTTTTTGTGGATATGAAGAAATACAAAGTACCTCGCTGTTAGTTTTTACTGTAATCACATTTTTATTTTTTAAAACTTTACTTCTCTTGCA